GAATGGAGGATGACAGAGAAGAGTTTACGTGAACTTGACTTAAATATTCATCTGTACCTCACATTAAACTATGGAAAAGCTTCAGAACACTTGAAATATAGTGCACGAAAACTTTATGGTGCTTTATAATGTTTTTGTGGCTTTCATGGGGCTTAAAAATAACACAATAGTATACGCACTATATCGGATTTGGATCGGTCTCGTCTGACCGATACCCCGATCCAGCAGAAAATGCCAGTATCGGAGTATCGCAGTATCGCACCCCTAGTGAAAATCATCTGGAAGTAACCTGAGGTTACATTTCTTGCTTAAGGACACTGGTGGCATTGAACACAGTTTGTGTTACTGGCCATCTGAAGCACGTTGCACACAAAAAACGGCAAGAACTAGCAGAAAGCCAGGAGTGTTGGATGGTACAGTCACATTAGCGATATCTTTAAGAAATTTTGCAGATTTATTGTCAATAGTGTAACGATACATGAAACACAGCTCATGCAGAAATCACTTTCAAACCAAGCAGCTTCCTGTTGGACCAATGCGAAATCTGCATGAGAACATCCCTTGCACCCCAGATTGCATGGATTCCTATTGAAATGGCTGGATTTCGCCTCACAAAAAAAAAATTGCCGAACAACAGTAAATGTTGTAAACCGTTACGCTACTTCCTGATCAAGGTGAACAAGTTTATATCAGTCCACTGCAAAACAGTGGTTTTACAAGGTACCTGGTGGATGCAGCAAACATTTCTAAATGCTTCCAGGAGAGTGGCATCCAATATAAAAAAAAAATGATCAGTTCTGCTTCAGATATTGGTTGTGTAAGATATATTTTTTTAGTGCTTAGAAGTAAACTAGATCTTGCTTTTTGTCCTAACTAGGTGAACCGTGACAAGTTAACAAGTAAAATGAAATGCTGTGTGAAAAACTCGGCAAATCAAAGCATATTTAAAGCCATGATGAACCAGAAGTAGTGACATATCTTTTCATCCATATTGTGGAATGCATCCGAGTGAATGGATTATAGGTTGTTTATGGATGCTCAAATCGGTCAAACCGAGAAGCCACAAGGAGCTTGTGTCGTGTATGGAAATCTGTTGTTCATAAGGGGGGAAAAGGCAAGAAATTGACAGTAAAATGCAAGAAAATTTGTAAACCTGCGTCTGCGGTCGGGAGGAGCCGAGTCGGATAATGCTTATAACATTGATTATAACAGAACATAGTGAGATTGAGATAAATTGAAGTGAGTGGCAGTTTTTTATTGATTATATGGAAGCGCTATTTGCTCGCTTTCTATGCTATAATCAGCTCAGAATTTGAATAAAAGTTGTGTTTTACATGCTGCTAACAGGACCGACGGCCACATATATGTGACATATATCCCGCATCCTTCATATAAATGCGGGATCCACTTTTGAAATAGCTTGTTTGCAAGCAGGGTTAGTTGCTTAGCCTATATCCACCGCCTCCATGACAGGCAAGTATTTCAATTTAGATGAAAATCGCTCCTCTTCATAACATAAGGGTCACGTCCAACATATGTTGTGATTTTCTGTTTATACCTTTCTCTTGTAATAGTGTCTAAACCAGTAAAGTACAGACTTTCCTCCATCTCTTCCATTCTGCTTTTCACTTCCTGCCCTCCATCTGAATTTCGCGCTTCATTAGAATCACATGATTGCAAACAAGCTATTGGAAAAGAAAAAGAAATGTATGGCGGGGGACTTGCTTCTATCTACCGGTCGTTGATTGGATGTTGATAAGTGGGCGTGGCTCTCAAAAGAGGTGGATCTGAATGTGAGCTGACAGTGGATTGTGAGAAAGGGGCGGAGTTTAAGCAAATTAAATTACAGGAGAATGTGTCACCAGAGAGAAGTCTGGAAATTCAAACTTTGATTCAAGATTAAATTTAGATTAAAAATTACGAAGGCAAAAAAAAATGCACAGATGAATAATTTGCAGGAATATCAATAACACTAATTTGCAGAGATTCAGTGCACTGAGTTCCACAAATCTGAATGCATTATTTGTAAATTGACTGTTAAGATAAACATTTTGCACAATTTAGTATCTGTAATATCATTGTGTTGCCACTAGATGCCTGTATAGCCCTATGTAACAATCCCTAGTGGCTAAGATATTGCACATAATTATATATATATTTTTTTTTTTACATTTTACCTTATTTGTATATTTGTATAGTTGTATTTTATATTTAATCAGTATTTCTGTATTTATGTTCTACTGTTAGTGTTATCTGTATGCACCAAGGGTCTGAGAGTAACGCGACACCTCCGTAAGAATGCATTTAACTCGACAAAGCGGTCTAATAAAGGATGTATTCATCTTGTGAATTAGCGAATTTTACTATACAAATAATTTTAAATTGGATGTTAAAGTTTATATGGGAATATTACATGACACGCTGATCCTTTTAACAATGCATTGGCACAAAAAACGCACACCTTTTGGACAAATCTGCCACAAATATTTGGACAAATGTGCCACAAAAGTGCCACAAATACTGCCTAAACAAAATACTGATTTTGTGTACTTTATTTACTGTACCAATATTTTAAATTAGCTTTATTTAGCTTTATTGCATGGCAAAAAAAAAGTGTTACCTTGTCAAAGCACTGACAGAGCCCACTGATCTAACGGCGTTGTTGAGCGCTCCAAATGCAAACTTTGCATACAACAATCAGGCAGCAATTTCCAGCACTCTGATCTAGTGGCATACAGGCATCGTCAGATGGACAGTACTCTAGCCCAATAATGTTGGGGGATCCAGTGGGGGCAGCAGTCATATTTCAGGGTGACCGTGCCACTCTTTATCACAACCCTGCTGAAAGTGCCAGTACGTGCGCTCGTTAGCGTCCCTTCAGCTGGTGGCCCCTAGCCGACCGCCTAGCTCGCCTATGCCTAGAAACGGCCCTGTATATTACTATTTAGTATTTACTATTGCATTATCCCCCAGGTTTCACAGACAAGGCTTAGCCCTAGTCTCAGAATAAAATGCACGTCTGGGCTGTTTTTAATTGAAAGAAATCTGCACTGATAGATCTTAAAATATGCTCAAGATGCTCACCAGTAATGTTTATTTTTTTCTAAGGCACTTTTATAAAAGATAATTAAATGTCCTAATTGAACTGTGGTCTCATCCTGGCTTAACCTCAGCCCAGTCTGTGAAACCAGGCCTATAAAAAATGAGTGTTTAATAAAAACAATAGCATTGGTAGTAGTAGTACCAAATTACATCATGTCGCATAGTGAATTTATTTCATATACACAACGCCGTTCAAAAGTTTGAGATCAGTAAGAAGTCTCTTCTGCTCATCAAGGCTGCATTTATTTGATCAGAAATACAGAAAAAACTGTATGATCACATATTATTTACACAATTATTTAAATGTATTGATTCTCCCCGATTAATTGAAATTTTCCTTTCTAAGATAGCCTACCGCTTATATACACTCAGAAAGTCTTCCAGTTTTGTGGAAAAAAGCATTTGAGCACTGGATTTACAAAAATCATTTCAAATTTAAGAAGTTAAATACATAAATTTGTATTTGAATTATCACTCAGTAGGTTATTTAACCATGTATTTCTGTCTTTGGAAGGCTTTTGTCTTTCAAACACATTAAAATGCACAAATTCACAAACTTTGTTGTCATCTGAACCTCTTTCACCTATTTACTTTGATTTTAAAATAAATATTTTAATAGGAAGTATCACATTTGCATGTTCACGGTTCTCTGACGTTGGTTATGGTCACATTTTAAACAAATAAAATATTTTTAAATTTTTAAATTTAGATTGTAATTACATTTTTATGATTTTAAAAAAATTCTGTTTTTTTTTTATTGTATAATTAATTTTATTTAAATTAATTTATTTGTTTATTTTGCATATGTTTACCCTTGTGTGTGTGTGTGCATGTGTGTCTGTGTGTGTGTGTGTGTGTGCATGTTTATCTGGTTTATGAGGACACAAATTTGTATAATAACATGGGTATGACATAGGTATTACAACGAGAAGGTGATTTATGAGGACATTTTCAGTGTCCCCGTAATTCAAAAGAAATTATGTATTATGAAATATATACAATGCAAATATGAATTGTAATACTATCCTCAAAAGCTCACTGTTAAACTGGAAATTAATGCAAACATTTTTAACAATTTTAATGTTAATATTATAATATATTATTATTAAACTATCAAGACAAGTCTTTGTAAACAATAAAACTGAATACAATAAAATGATTACACAAAAATGAACTATAGTCTATAATTAGTCTTTTTAAAGTATGCTTTATAAGTAACTATATTTCACTTCCACGTTATTGGTCATAAATGTAAGATGAAGTCAAGCACATTGCATTATGGGATGCAGTATTCAGTGCTGTTCAGTGTACATACTGTACTACATACTGCAGAAACTGTAAGAGAAGCGGGTTAATATTACAAAAACACTCAATGTGGGACAACATGATGAAAGATCACTGCAAGTCAAGTCAATTTTATTTGACTAGTTCTCGTCACCATACAGATTGTTTCAAAGAAAAATTAATTAAAGAACATTTCAGGGGAAAGTTCAGGACTTTAATACAATAAAGACTGCTTCAGCTTTCTTCTTATAGGCAAATCTCTATGGAAGCCTGTTTCTGCTACAGGAAAAAATTATAATTAAAAAACGTATTTGCAACTTTTTTTCGTGCAGTTCTAAGAAGGAAGTCATAACTGCAAGATAAAAAGTCAAAATTCTGAGACAAAAACTCAATTCTGAGGAAAAAAAGTCACAGAATCACAGCTACCTTTTTTTAAAATTCTGTGGCAGAAACCATCTTCCATAAATCTCAGTATCAGAAGCAGAGCTCCGAACAGAAGTGTTTTAGACGTGTCTCACCATCCAGGCGGCAGACAGACAGTGAAGCGCTTCTCTCTATATACTACATAAGTTACATTACCACACTCTGACGAGCCGCAGAGAACAACATTACTCTCATTGAGTCTCACTGGCTTGTGAAGATCCGGTTTCCCTGGTGATGCCTGTGAGCACCATGGCAACAGCCTCCCCGAGCTGTGATGGAGAGAGACATGGGAAATTACAGAGACATAAGAGAGAAAATAGGATTGATCCGAGTTCCCAGACAAGACGATATCACCAGCAATCACGGGTCATTACAGCAATCACGACACAACGCTCTAAGCCTAAGATTAAGATTAAGAAATCAGCTTGCCCGATAAATTAATCACATATTTCTTCATCAGATTTGGAGAAATGTAGCATTGCATCACTTGCTCAGTAATGGCTCCTCTGCAGTGAATGGGTGCCGTCAGAATGGCATTTACATTTAATCATTTAGCAGACGCTTTTATTCAAAGCGACTTACAAATGAGAACAATAGAAGCAATCAGACCAAAGATAGAACAACAACAGTATACAAGTGCCATGACAAGTCTCAGTGAGTCTAGCACAGTACACGTAGCTAGATTATTTTTTTCCCCCCAAATAATAGAATGGAATGGAATGGAACAGAATAGAATAGAATAGGTAAGTGCTAGTATTAGTTGGTCAGGTGCTGGCGAAAAAGATGTGTCTTTAGATGTTTTTTTGAAAATAGCTAAAGACTCAGCTGTTCGAATTGAGATCGGGAGGTCATGCCACCAGCCGGACACAGTCCAAAGGTCTGTGAGAGTGATTTTGTGCCTCTTTGGGATGGCACCGCAAGGCACCGTTCACTTACAGAACGCAAGCTTTTGGACGGCGCATTAGTTTGAACTAGCGAGTTTAGGTATATTGGTGCAGCACCAGTGGTGGTCTTGTAGGCAAGCATCAGTACCTTGAATTTGATGCGA